GCCTGATGGATGCATACCTACAGTGCGACAAGGCCCGCCAGCCCGGTATGCCCTCGTGAAGCTCACCTGGGCAAGGACAAGCCTCCAGCCGCGACCTTGTTCCGGCTCGGCCATACAGGCTTGACACTTCCGCCAACCTTCTCGAAGGTCGTGATCAGCTGCGAGAGTGTCGCATGCTACGGTTGAATAGATTAACCAGCCACTAACCCCTTACTCTAAGCTCACGACTCCAGCGACCGAGAACGTGGGTCTGACAAGCGCATTTTCAGGGTCTCCCCATAATGATTGGGGCCAGCCTGGGGAAAACAGCAGAGCACGCGGAGCCGAGGTGATGAGGCGTGGTTGGCGGAAAGATGGAGCCGGATTTCCCCAGCCTGCTAACTCGATGATGCCCCGAACACGTGATGGATGGGAGGCACGGGCTAGCGCCGAACGGCAGAACGCTCCTTCGTTCATGGCCAATCCAGCTCAATAACACACTCCGCGGAAACTCCACATCTGCAATGCGATATCCCGCTTTTCTTCTTGCACCGTCAGCGCCTCGAGCCGTTCCCCAGAGGTTTCCCCAGACAGCTTCCCCAGAGATCAACAACAGCTAACGCGCTCCGAGGAGACCTCACGCGATACATTGCAACTGCTTCACCGGGCTCATTTAACACATCCTACCATCGTCTTATTTGATAGCACATGCTGCAAGCAGCACCATCCCTGATTAGCGTCCTGTCAACGTGATTCGGCCACCGTATCAACGGGCGGTCTCGCTTACGCCTGGGCGATGTCTGGGCCAAGCCGCCAACGGGTGGCTGGCTCTTCTTTGAATGCCAATCTTCCAACACTCTTGATCAGCCGAAGACGCCATAAGGTAGATGAGATCTAAGCATCCCGCTGCCCAGCCTGCACCGGCTGAATCACAGCAATTATTGAATGCGTTGCCTGCAGCTTCCCACGGCCCTGAACGCCCTCGACTCCTTCGCGGGATGCTCTGGCCGCTGTGCCCTTCCTTTGGAATCCACAAGAAAGGGCTTGCATGCGCGGCTGATGCGGCAATTGCTTCTTCAATGCTTGTTAGCGATCCCGAACGGGCTTTCAGCAGACTTGGCTACTCTTGCATGCCGTGCCCGCCCGCACCTAAGCAATCTTTGCCTGCGTTGGCATTCTGCCTTATCGAAAAGTCAAGTCTGACTGCATCAAAAGCAGCCATGTCCGATGCATCGCCCAGCATGGTGGGTTTGTGTACATTGAGGGCGCCTAAAGGTCGCGCAATCACATCGCTTTGTTCTGTGGGTTAACTAGCATCACGAGATGGGCAGGGTACTCTGTCGGATCACCCCAGACAATGTGCACGGAGTCAGCCCAAGTATCCACAACGCCCACCAACACCGAATCCTTTGAACCTCGCTTCCAGCCAGAGGAGCCACCAAAGCTGGGAATAGTCTACAGTAATCATGACTATGTGGTGTACCGATGCTGGTTTAGTGTACTCCGACTCCGATCATGCGCAGCCACTCAACGAGATCCCACGCTCGGACCGTCGTAGTTGTCGGGATCTCCAGCCGTTCTTTCCTCTACAGGGGCAGAAATCAATGAATGACCGTTCGAGGCGGCTGCGCGAGCACGAGATCGTTGAAGGTCCTAACCAAAGCCTCCGTCCCGTTGGCCGCCGTCGAACACCACAAGCGCCGCGCCACGAATCGACACAATTATCCTCAGAGCCTTGCCACTGGGGTATTAGGCTAAAAGGCTTCTCATCACGACTCGGTGGCTGCTCTAGTCGAGCCACTTGGTAAAACATCGCAAGAAAGCCAGTTGGGACGGTCAGTGCCGATTCGAGGTGTAATAGTTCGTCGTATGTCGTAGTGATCGGACCCAGTCCTCCATTTCTCTGGTTTAGTGGTATGTGATCGCCGTCCATGGACGTTCAGTCCTCTGTCTTTCACTCATTTGTTACTTCTAATAGACCTGAAAATAGACATGCGAAGAGACTGCCCATATCCTGGGCACAATACAAGAATAGCCTATACCAAACGGCTGCCAGCCTCCGATCTTTCATCGTATCCTGCCCCGACGCATGATATCTGACGATATCGACACGACCTTCGTACAACGGTGTATGATATGTGCCATCTGCAGATGTCCTGCGGCTTTGCTTTTTCGGCCAAGCAAGTATGCGCATCCTGCGACACATCGCAGTGCTCAGAGCATACCGTGTTCTGCGTATCAGCTGGCGCCATGTCTCGTTGTGTGTGCGCCGTTTGTATACCCGCCGAGCGTTGAGCGCGAATACGTCGGGATGCTGAGCACAACACACCCCCATATCTTGGGTGCACGCATCTCAATCAGATATGCCTCATGCTGACCGTCAGCTCGCCATTGATCTTGACAAGGAAATATGAGCTGCATTGTTCCGAGTAGGACCGCGTTCATTTCATTTCTAAACGCTGTGTCGACACCTATACGCCGGTAATCGGACCGAGAAGTAATATCATGGCCATATTTCGCTGTGTCAATTGATCGGCCTTCTGACCTTACGCACACTTTCCGGCGAATGGGTATTGTATTTGTTAACCTTTGTTGTATATGTCACAAAACTGCGAACAAGGACTACAGTCTCGGGGACCCCGTCGAATCCACGCTTTTGGGTCAGACGCCACGTCCACGAATTACAGGTTATTCGCGCACGATAGACCTTCTCAGCTATCTAAGACAGACACCAAAGCATCCGGGAACTCAGTCTTTTGCAGGACGACATGTTGTTCTCAAGTCGAAGCAACGAGGCAAGAGGCAATGCCGAGAATAATGCTGCAAGCCACGACGGATGCTGAGGAGGAGCGTCCTTAGCCCAAACACTGTATTGGTTGGGTGCGCTTACCAACTGTGCAACTCCCATCCATTGCCTCTCCAGCTCGGTTTCCCCAATGACGAGGACAAGGTTGTATGCGCGCGCACTGTTTGTATGCGTCAATTTGCAGACAGGAAAACGAGATGCTCACTAAGTCGCAACAGCTGATCATAGGTTTCTAGTTGATGATGCATACCGACGAACGAAGCGCTCATATTACGAGACTTGCGCACACCACAGACACGGACTACAACGAACTGCAGACACGGGACTGCTGGAAGAGTTGTACCCCACCACAACTGCGTCTTAATCGTATCGCGTCCGCCAGACTGAGTGGTGTGAACAGTCATCACTATGGTAGTCGTTGATGAGCTGGGACTGTTGGAAACGATGAAACCCTTCGTTGAACGTCAGGCCTTGTGCGTATGGGCTCCAATCGAAGAGGCTACCGTGTTGCGCGTGATGGCTATGCAGGCAGCGAGTGCAGGTATCGTTGAAAATGAGACAGAATCTGGACCTAGTGCCGGGCTTGCGCTCTGTCGATATGTACGGAATGGGAAACTTTCCATGGTTGACAGAGGCGTAGGGCAGGCGATGCATGCAGCATCTACCTAGGCACTCAACAACGAGGGAATTCTTTGCCCACCTCGTAGCTTGCCAGCAGTTTGAGGCATTGCTAAACATCATATTCATAGGTGTATATGGCTTCCGTCAGCTTTTTGGCTGTCCAGAGACGTGAAGATGTTCTTTCATCGTCTTGGTCAGCTAAAGTGGGTCCATTCGCGTTCCGTGGAGTAGCCGCCGCAGTTCGCGTCATCCATGGATGACTTTCCGCGTGCACGCGCCGTCATCCTTCGCATTGCATAGCCACACTCGCCCAATAGTCTCTTGCGCCCAGGACGTTGCGACCACGATCAGCAAAATGTGGAGCAGTAGCGGTTTGATACGAGGAAAGAAGTCTTGGGGCCGCGTCTGAATTCTTGGGTGTGCCACCGAAGACGCGCAGTTGACGTCCTACACCATCCAACTTAGCAACAACACACTTCGGTCCCTATCTACTCCACGTTCGCTTTTCGCACACACCTTCGTTACCAGTAGACATTGCATCATCTATCGGATCATGTTTGCGAAAACAGGCCTTCTTCTACTGACTGCAGCGGCGGGAGTGGTAAGAGGCGACTTCATGGTCTACACAGAACCGCCAATTCCCACGTCCGCCATTCCAACCTTCGCCAATCCATCCGATGTACGTTGAGCGCGAACCTGGGAGTCTACCGCTGTACTGACAACTACGCAGGCCCAGAGCTGGACCACCTCCGTCTTCCTCAACGCGCAAATAGCGTACGGTCGCTTCACGGAATCCCTCGGCGAGCCCTACCAGTCCTCTCTCACGTCCGCGCGCTCCGAAATCGACGCCTTTGTCAGCACCGCCTCGAATTACAGCATCCCGGCTGAAGTCACCATGGCGGATGAGACCCCCACATACTTCTCCAAGCCAGATTGGTATACAGCCCTGCCGAGTGCGGCGAGGTCGTTCAAGGAACAACAGGTCAGCGATCAGTTCAGCATCGTGAGGAACGTTATTGCGGCGAGGGCTACCTCTACGACGGGTTCCGAGGGAGCCGCGATGCCGACTGCACTTGCTGGACAGTGGCTGGGGGCTGAGTTCGGCGTCATGGCTGCGGCGGCTGCGGCCGCCTTCTTGTGAGGAACACAGGAATTTGACCATGGGTAGATCGCATTTACACGAATAGACTTCTAGACTGCAATTGTACCCAGGAGGTACGCGTCAAGACTATAGATCATGCTATACAATGGATATATGGCGCGAAGAATGCCAATGAACGCACCTGTGCTCCCAAGGTGCAGTCAATCTGGAGTCCATCTACCATGTAATGCACTGATCAGCGTAAGCAAGCCAGAGACGCAACATGCTAGCACATCAAGCCAAGTTGACGTACGCCCGTCGAATCCTTTGTGAAAAACACACCAATCACGCATGTCGCTATACGCAGATGACCCACTTCTGACTATGCATTCATGGCGACAATGGCATGCCAATCTAAGGGGGACAGTCTATAAGAGGGCATACAGAAGATCCAAGGAGACATGAAGCAGCCAGACTTACTCTAGCAACAAAGAGTCCATCCGTCTTTCCACAATGTCGACTTCCGAGCCAACCCACACACCACAACTCCGTCCTTTCTCAGTCCACGTCCACCCCATTCCTCCGACCGAACCAAAGACATGTGCATACGAGCGCCGCCATTCCAACTCTGCCAAGTGCAACAACGCCTTGGTCTTCATTGGTGGGCTGGGCACTGGTCCGCATACAACCCCCTACCTAGGACCTTTGAATGACGCATTGGAACGCGCGAGGTTGAAAGATGGAAACTGCGTGCAATATAGTATCTGGGAGCTGAGAACGCGGAGCAGTTATACAGGTTTCGGATATGGAAGCTTGAAGGAGGATGCGGAAGACTTGAAGGAGTTGGTGCAGTATCTGAAAGAGATTGGGAAGGAAAAGGTTGTGTTAACTGGAAGTTCAACTGGTAAGTTGATGCTGTCCTACCAACGCGAAATGCTCTTCTTCGGGTTCTGCTAGTTACTGACGATCAAGAAGGATGTCAGGCCATCATGACATACGCAACTACACTGCCAGTGCCTCCCCCGGTTGACGGCTACATCATGCAAGCCCCAACTTCAGATCGCGAAACAGCGGGACTGCTCATGCCACAAGACCTCCTCTCCGCCAGCCTCAAGCACGCCGAATCTCTCATTGCTAAAGGGGAAGAAAAGACTATCATGCCTAGCTCCTTCATCCCACCCATCATCACGTCTCCGGTAACGGCATACCGCTGGCACTCCCTAGTCTCTGTGGGAGGCGACGACGACTTCTTCTCTTCCGATCTACCAGTTTCCGCTCTCCAGTCCACATTCGGCAAACTGGATAAGCCGACGTTGATTCTGATGTCAGAGAAGGACGAGATGGTTCCTTCGACCGTGGACAAGGGGGCCTTGCTGAAGAGATGGGTTGACACGATTCCAGATGGTCTGGCGAACAGGCAGTGTCAGGTTATTCCATTTGATGCTGATCATGAGCTCTCTGGTGATGAAGCAATGCGGTACTTCATCGAGACGGTTGTCAAATTTCTCGAGGGAATTGATGCGGCATCAGTTGGACAATCATGAAGATAGTCACATTGATAAATGTTATCTCGAGATCTCTCTTCGCTAAAGCACAACACCATTCATTTCACCCTTGCTCCTCGTCATGGTCAAAATGACGTCAGTGGCCCATCTGCAACCCACCCACCCATTCATCTCACTTTCCCGTCGCGCATGCGCGATGTAGCGACCCCGCTATGTCATGCATGCCGTTTTCCAGGTTTCTGGTTCAATAAATACACCATTTAATCGCTAATGTTTGGTCTATGTTTTTTCTTTTGACGATACCCAACATTTTCGCCAACCTTGTTACGCTACCAAAGCGCTCGAAATGGGTATACCGTACTCCCGCCAAATCAACGCTGCGTTCGAACAAGTTACGCCTCTTGTAGCGGCGGGCTTCAAAGTCCTCCGTACAACCCGCGATATCTCGATCTTGCTCGCCGTCATCCAAGTTCTTACCGTTATCCTCCTAGGATTTATTCTCGTCGCGCTCGTCTTACTGCTATACTGCGTGAATCCGGATCTGGAGGTTCGTCGTTCCTTCTAGGATATCGGAGCTGATGGATTTAGATGCTAACACTATGTAGGAAGAAAGAAAAGCCATCGTCACGCCATGGCTCCGGTACTTCGCTGGTATAACGTTATGGTCGATATTCAAGACCTTGTTTTCTACGTTGGTCGTGATGGGGCTTGCAGCGGCGGCGACATGGCACTTTTTCGTGGCGAAGCAGTGGGTGGAGGATGTGGAGTACGACGCAAATGTCGATGCTGATAAGGCGTTGTCGGATTTGGATGGAGAAGGCGAAGTCGAAGGTGGCAGCAATGCAGCAAAGAAGGGGAAAGGTAAGGGGAAGAAGTGAGAAGAACGTTGACTGAAAGTGGCAGTAGTATTGCTTAATTGAGAAACCCTTTGTTGACAAGAAGACTACGCCGCACCTACTTGACTACCGTAAACATTACATGTGTGACAATGAACACAATACTCGCCGGTATGTCTCCGATCGCCACATCAACATGTTAAATAGACCTCATAACACCCTCTTCCTCGCACTAAACCCCTCACTATCAAGCAGCAACAGCGCAAACAAACCGCCCATAACCGGTCGAGCCTTGAAGTCAATACCAGAAGGTTGTGTCCCATCATTCGTCTGATAGAGATCGGTAAAAGGATGGGAGTTAGGTGTCTCATTCACCCACTTCGCCAGATCCCCAATAAACATATCTCTCGTATCCTTACTCGCTACCGCAGCACAGAATACCTCCCAATCGGACTTCGTGTAGTAGGGATTTCGCGTATCGAGGGGTACGCCATACTTTTCCTTGATGGTGGGGTAGAAGGCAGATTGTATATCGTAGATTTCTTGGGGCACAAGGTTGAGCCCAAGGAGACGGTCGTTGTAGAGGTTATATAGCAGGCCATGGGTGGTCTCGTTTCCGTAGTTGAGGATAGAGTGAGGCGGGTTGTCGGCCTTGTTGATGCCTAGATCGATCCAGCGGGTGATGTAGCCGTGGGCAATGGCTGTGTAGTTGTCTGCGTCTGCTGTTTCGCCGATGATGCGCGCCATTTGGGACATGGCTTCGAGGCCGATGATGCCTTTCAGTGCGAGGTTAGTTTGGTTGGCGAGTGCGCCCGCAAAATCGTCGGTAGAGAGTTGATCGGCTGGAAGGAGGCTTTCTTCTACAAGATATTCGGTCCATTGCTTTAGAATGGGGTAGTGTTGGGTGATGTAGTCGGTGTTGCCTGATAACTGGACGTATGCGAGCATCATGAACATGTGGTTGCCGCATTCTTCCAGCGGCATATGTTCGTCCAGACCGTCTGGGTGGCCGGTAGCGTTGGGGTAGTGCGCTCCAAGATCATGGATAGCGAACTTGTTTGGATAATGGCCGCTCTCCTGGTTCTCGAAGTGCGGGTCAAGCAACAGCTTGACTAATTCTGGGTTGGTATAGTAAAAGATTGGGGTAGCAGGGTAGATGACGTCCACAGTCTGCATGTTTCCGTTGGACGAGATCTCCTTGAGAAAGAGGTAATGCTCGTCCTGAGTACCGACAAGCTGAGTGGCACCGAATGCCTGACGAGCAGCTAAGCTAGTCAGGATAGCGTAATCATCTCCTGCAGCTGCTTTGGAATCCTTAGAGATCTTGTCGTCGAGCTCCGTAGAGAGTCTGTTGGACTCCTGGTAGTCTTTGTAGAAGAAAGAAAGGGCGGCGAGATCGTCCTGGAAGTAGCTTTTCCAAAGTGATGGCACGTTCTTGAGGCCGTCTGCGCCCAGAAACTGTATAGCGTCGTCTTGACATAGACCGATAGTATAAAGCTGGCTTTTCACGTCAGACCCGACGGAACCCATGTTTAGAGCGTATCCAAACACGGGCCATTCAACGTTAATTGGTCGGAATTCGGAGTCTTCCGCGTTGTTGAGGCTTCCATCATTGTCAAAAGCATCGCGGACTTCAGAGTCTGCTCCGGACTTGTGCGTAAGACCTTCGACTGCTTCGGTGGAATAGTACTGCTAAAGTCAGATCATGTTTCCATGCCTTTTGGTGGACTGATTACCCAATTACCCCACTCTGCGCGGTCGTTGACCTCACTCAAAGACTGTTGGTTTTGCTTCCAGATCTTGTGATAGCCGATACCATCTGATGTAGTACCGTAACTCCACTCAGCTACAGCAGCAACATCACCAGACGTCCATTCTATCCGCATGTCAACATCAAGCGCACGTTTAGAAGGAAGTGACAAATGCTCACCAGCACTGATATCTGTATAAATCTGCACATCATGAGAAGAACCGTCTAGCGACGAGACCTCGACATCCATGTACGAGAAAATGAGAGATTGACGCTTGAAGTCATTTGGAGTCAGTGGTGACATGAATGTAACCTTGAGCTGAACGGTATCGCCTGCGGTAATGGTGAAGATGCTCTTGGTCGACGTATATTCGTATGATGTCTGATTAGCGAAATCGTTGTAGCCGTCGGGTTTCCCCATCCAGACGAAGGTATTGCCATCGACTTTAACCAAGCCAGTCCATCCTAGAATCTGGCCACTGCTTGGTGTCAACATGTATCCAACACATAGCGTCAAGAGGGATCTTACGTCCAGAATGATGGCCACTGGCCTGGAAGATAGCCCCCATTTCCCCCATCACTACCTGCAGGGAACCACGTGCTCAAATATGGACTCTTAACGGCCAGTGGTAGGGAGGGCGGACGGGCTGGAGTGAAGGTCGAGCCAGATTGTGCAGTAGTAGTAAGAAAGAAGGTGCACAGCACGCTAAGAATGGGAAAATACATCTTCAAGGATGCAAAATATTGATACCGGGCATGCGCGCAAACTCGGAGTAAGATGGAAAACGAAGTTTATATAGACACGAAGTCCCGAGTCGATCTTCCTTTGGTATTACCACGTGCTCCCTGCAGCTAGCAATGAAAGATGCATGCACCGGTGCGTGAAAATGGCCATTTCGTTTGTCAAAGGGGCCGTGATGTTTGTTGACAGCTTCACCCGTTCTACGGTCAGCACTAGCTTGGATTTAACGTTCAAGTGACGATACAAATGTCAGGAAGAGTTACCGGCGAACCTAAACAGCATGGGCGAAGCGCCGAACCTTTTTGATATTACACCACATGATGAAACTTTAGTGTCACCTTACATTGTAGGCAACAAGTCCATGAAGCTCACTGACAAGGCTTTTTATCGGTGGCCAAGACTCTTGGCTACTTCGGGATATGCGGTGGTTGACCGCATCCGCAGAGGCACGCCTGACGTGCATCATAAGGTTATGCCAGGCTAGCTAGCGTCTGTGAGTACAAGGCTGATCAGTCCTCGAGACATGATGTCGGACTCCTGGTAATCAGTCGGGGAAATCAGGCGACCTTTTTCATTGCACTCCACGAGCGTCAAAACGAGGCCTTGCCTGATTTGGTAGAGCATCCACCACGCGCAATTAGAGGCGCTAAACAACGGTTTGCTTCCAGGACGGCAGGAGTGGCGACGTGAGTTGGCGCTGGCAGATTCACGATCCTCGTGATGCGACTGCTGCGGTGTTGATGAGCGACGAAGCACCGGTGTCCAGTAGTAGAGAGTACAAGTGACGTTGAACCGCGGGTTTGGAAGGAGTGGTACTTACAGTACACGAGCGCACTGCTAGCGTTGTAACCGTTTGGATAGGGAAGGAGCTAAAGCACTCGCAGCGCAAAAACATATGTGGGTGTGAGATACCCGAGAAGAGCCAGCCACGATAGCGCAACGCCGTCCGTGCTTGGAGCAAAATGTGTGGATGCGACGGAACGTGTGGGTGTCGTACTGCGGGGAAGGCGTGCGCGGATCCGGAAAGTGCCATCGACATGCTTGCAGGTTCTGTATCTGGGGTTACCACCGGTCCAACGCGGTAGCACGAAGACCACGACTGTAGGTCTTTTGGACAACGTTGCCACGTTGTGTACGTTAGCTGTCAAGTACCATGTGAGCACAACGATCATGAGACAGACAAGGCTTGTAAGTAGTGACGATACATTGCAGAAAGCTCATAAAAGTATGAGGTCGTATAAGCTGCTGATAGTCGCCTGCGGGCATCACAAATAATGGAGTCTGTGGTGAAAACCACGCTCATCTGGGAGCCAAGTAAAGTACAATGCATCATAAGGCCATCCATCCTTTGACCCAACCATTGATAAGAAAACGCCGGGAAGACCAGGATCATGAGTGGAATAATAGTGCAGGGTATCCAAAAGCCAACGGAAGTGACTGAATCGCAGAATGCCGGATGATAAGCGAACACCAAATATGAGCAAGAAAAAACGCAATGCAAACCGGGTATCCAAGGCCTGTCCAACACCAAACGTAACTCGTACAAGAAAAATCATCAGCTCATGACTCCGCAACCCAAGGGCGAGCCACGTGCTCGAAGCGTTGCTCGCAGTCGCGCAACAATGCGCACTCTAGGATATCATGGACGTTCCAACGCTTTTCAACGTCAGCCTCAAGGCAACCCCTGACCAATGCGAGGGCGTCGTCGATG